GAGAGAGGGCATGAACCTGCGTGCCCAGATCTGGATGGCCCGGGCTAGTCTGATGTCAGAAGCTAAGCAAGTAAGGCTGCCAGGTACCCCAGAAGGGTGCAGGTTCCCCTGCTCAAAGAGTCCCCAATCTGCCGGTCTGTAAAAATGGGGGAGAGTTAGTCCCTGGCCGGGATATCCACGCACGCGTTGCAATAATGTCACCCAGCACGTCGCCGGGTGACACTCTAGCAATCAGCCTCTATCTATAGAGTTTCCAGGCTGATTGCTAGAGCGTCAGCCGGCAACGTGCTCAACGTGATGACGTCACTTTCCGGGTGACATCATTGCAACGCGCCCGTGGATATCCCGGCCAGGGACCAACTCTCCCCTGCTTTTAACAGTAAGTCACTTGGCAACCCTATAAGCAAGGTCAGTCCTGGTTAAGTCACTTGGATGGGAAACCACCAAGGAAGCCCAGGGTTGCCATGCAGAGGCAGGCAATGGAAACCCACCTTTAGACCTCTCTGGCCTTGAAAATCCTACAAGGTCACTATAAGCCAGCTGTGACTTATAAGTCAGAACTTTCCACCACCATGATCTTATGCAGTGACATAAAAGTACCATTTAATTCGCTTGATTAGATCTTACTGCTGATTAAACATGCGTAGGATCAGGCTGTAAAACACACTGCATCTATCAACGCTGAAATTGAAAAGGAGGAGAATGCCCACATGAGGGGGAACATGCGGCAGCATCTGAGACCGCAGTTCACTTCCAGTCACCAAACCGGATCGGGCAGCACTACACAGGCAGTGAGTGTAATGTATTGAAAAGGCTTACTGAAATTGCTGCATTCACTCCCCATGTAAAGCTTCGAGCCGGACGAAGGCTCCTCCGACCTGCCTTACTATTGGACGCTCTACAGCAGCGACCAATCAGGACTGTACCAGCTCCCTGAGAGGGAAAGACTCTCATTGGTTGTTGATTGTACTGAGGCGTGGCTATGTTAGCCCGGGAAGGTTTAAAAGGAGCCTAGCTCCCAATGTTAATCTGTTCTGGTTATGAATGCTTTTAAGCGCTTGTTCGTTCTTACAATAAAGCTGATCACTTTGCTGAAATCACTCTCCGGATCTTTGTTAGCGGCGATCTAACAGTGAGCCCTATGGTACAATGCAGGCAAAGTTACGCACTACACTGTCTCATTGCTTTCAAAATGTACAGGTACAACACTTTCCCAATGATTTCAATGAGACCCAACTGTATTTATCTCGGGTTGGACTGTGTCTTAAGGGCTTTAATTCGAAGAACAATTTCCCGGGAGTAAGACCCATTGAATGACATGGAAAGTCCTGGTGAATGTCCCATTGAGTTAGTCCCATTGAGTAAAATGGAATTTACTTCAGAGTAGACCTCTGACGCTTGCTCCCAAAGTCTCCTAGAGGTGAGAATTTGTTTATTTGTTTTTACTTACTTGATCGATACCCCGCCTTTCCCCCCAATGAGATCCCAAAGCAGCTTACATTGTTCTCTATTTTATCTCGAAGAGAAGAGCGGGGAGGATATTGGATTTATACCCCACCCTTCACTACCCGAAGGAGTCTCAGAGCAGTTTACAATCTCCTTTCCCTTCCCCTCCCCACAACAGACACCCTGTGAGGTGGGTGGGGCTGAGAGAGCTTTCTCGAGAACTGCCCTTGAGAGAAAAGCTCTGAAAGAACTTATGACTTGACCAAAGGTCACACCAGCAGCTGGATGTGGAGGAGTGGGGAATCAAACCCGGCTCTCCCAGATTAGAGTCCGTGCTCCTAACCACTACACCAAACAACCCTGTGAGGTGGGTTAGGCTGAGTGTGTGTGACTGGCCCAAAGTTGCCCAGCAAGCTTCCATGGCATGAAAGGGGGGTTCCTAGTCCGACACTTTAACCACTACACCTGTGCCTCTGGGAGAGCGATTCACACTGAAACCAACCCCTGGACAGACGAGACCTTTGCCAATTCAATGAAGAGAAGTGAAATGAGATCCCCAAGGAGCTCATTTATTTATTTAAAAGCAGGAAGGTACCAGAGGTCCCAAATGTTAAACCAAAAGTCGAGTGTGGACTGTGACTCTCACTGAATGCCAGAAGAACACTTCATAATTCATTCACTTGCCTCTCAGGCTCACAGCAGCCTTTTGGAACACTTGTATGCATCGACTACCACCCAAAGCCTTTTCAACAACTTTCAAAAGACGAGAAGTGGAACGACCTACAAAAAAAGCTTTATCCTACACGTTGCGATTGCCAAGGGCAGGCAGCTGACATGTGCAGCAATCTCAAGTGGCCCATGAGCATTATAGTTCCGTGAATTGGCCCTCCGGTTTCTGCTTAAAATGGTAATCACAGCGGCAATCACAGTTAAAACCCTTAAATTATTTCCCATTATATTTGTTTGAATGACTTCGGGGAGGGGGGCGGGCAGAAGAGAGAAACTGCAGCCACCTCCTAGTTATTTGGCCATTGTCATCAGCTACGCCAACCACACTTCCATCCACACTTCCCTCCACCACAAAGGCACAAACACACGCAAAGACAACAAACCAGACAAATTACTCTCTTGTGTACAGGGCTTAACTCAAACCCATTAAAAAAAGATTTAAAGCTTCCTGAGACTTGGGAAGAAAAATCTCTGCCAAAGGATGTTCCCATTTTGAATCCAGCTGTGTTTTCATTAGTCTGAATCATTCTCTACTTATCGTCCAACACAGCATGCGTTTGGTGAGATTTAGGGACGCGTTCTAGTAACACATATCTACGGCTTATTTTTGCATTTGCACGGTTGCAAAATGTGTAGGTCTGCGTACACACCTGAGAGTTATTTAAGAAACTCTGCCTTCCTTGAAGCTTTTATTTGGGGGGGGGGGGAAAGAAGACCTTTTTAATAGTCTTTGGAAAACTGAGACTCTTGCTGCTCTGTCTTCCCCTGGAATGTGTCCAGATGGAATCTGTTTACTTTGTAGTTAATGAGAATGGAAGGAAATGTAGTGATAAAATATTAAAACCCTTTTCTTACTCCTAGTATCGCCCACTTTAATCTTATGCAAAGCTTCACTTTAGCAAACCCACAAAGCGTAATGGCATCAGCCTCCAACCTTTTTACAGAAAAGAGAATTTTAGCAAAATGCAGTTATTAGGGCTTCAGAGGGTTCTGGCAAGGAAAAGAAACCCATGTCCTTTCACTCAGGAAAACATAACAGACTTCCAATGTGAAACTTCAGTGCCTTGACAGTCACAGTACAGAAGTCACAATAATAATTAGCAGCAATGTAACCCACTGTCCTACTGCCTTTTGAAATTAAGCAGTGCTGCAAATCAAGCCCACCTAGATGTCGTATCCATTCTACTTCCAAGACACTCCCCGGGACTAACCAGTGTAAGAAGAAGATTGCTAGACAAGAAGTATCACACCACCACAACTAATTTTACCTTATTTCTCGTGATTTGACTTCTGAGCAAAACAACCACACTATGTTATTAAGTCAAGTAAAACTTGACAGGAGACCCCAGGTAGAATGCTGGTTCACACGTGCATGTATGCCACTGGTCCAATGCAGCATTAACTGATAACTTCCATGTAAAAATCAGTCCAAGATTTATCACCAGAGATGAAACGTTCCTATAATTCAATGTCAATTCAAGCAGGTGCACAAAAAGGAAAAGGTCACACATCCAAGTAAGGATGATAGACATTAGCGAATATCAAGCATGTATGAAATCATCTCAGAACATGTCATTTGAGCCATTAGAAGGAGGAAAGCTGATCTAGATAATGTAAAAAACCCCAACATATATCTCCCCCAAAGGCACATTTGCTTCCCCCCAGATTTTTACCACCTACATCCAGAACATGTCACCTGTTGTGTCCGAATGTTAAACGCTAAGATCAGATATTATTTCAACCAAAAAAGGGATGATACTTTAGAAACTGTTGGCTTACGGAGTCCTCATCTGTTCCCACCAGCAGTTACATTCTAACGATCAAAATCAAATGGAATTTTCATACACTTGGCAGTAACTGGCAAGTGATAACATTCACGCTTAAAAAAAAAACAACCCAGAGACATTACCAAACTTCTCCTTCTCTGCAATATGCATGAACTTAAATAGATTTAACAAAATTGATCCCCCCCCATTGAGTCATTCATATACAGAAGAGCTTTTAAGCTCTGGATGCCCTAATGCCATGTTCTAAAAAGAAGAAATTCGTTCCCCAAACTTGAGAAAATGGCAACTTGTGAGTGCATAAAGTGCCATCATCTCGCAGCTGACTTATGGCAACACCAGCAAAGGGGCTTTCAAGGCGAGTGAGAAGCAGAGGTGGTTTGCCATACTGTTCCTCTGCAGAGTCTTCCTCGGTGGTCTCCCTTCTGAATACCGACCCTGCTTCCCAGCTCAGGCTACGCCATGCGGCCTTCGCGCCAAACAAACAGCAAGTCATTTAGTAGCAATGCAACCCACACTGTCCTTCGGACTAACTTTTGAAATTGCTGAAAACCAGGGCTACCAAGTTATATCTATGCTACTTGTAGGAACCCCAGAAGCTGGGGGTTGTTAGAAAGAGAATGGTGGTCTACAGGGGTCTGTGACCTGAGCCAGGAGGACTCTTCTAATGCCTTTAGAAGAAAACCTTCCTCCAGACCTCCAAGTGAGGAAGTGCAGCTTTTGGGGGAAAGGAGTACAGCAGTGCACATTCATTCAGCGACCCTACATTATTATCATTCTGCAATGTGACCGTGGAGCCTCGCGACCAAAACCACTTTCCCTCCTCCCTCCCCCCCCCCACTGTTCCCTCTAAGCTGAGTTAGTGTGAGCTAGCTCACAGTTTTCTAGCCTCCGGCTCACACCTTTTCGTCTTGGCTCAGGAAGGGATGGCTCCAGAGCAAAACTAATCGATGCAGCAGCCAAATCCCTCGCTCGCAAGACTCCGCAGCTTAGAGGGAGCACTGGGAGCCTCGACCCGCGGAGAACCCCTAGTCGACCTACTGTAGAAGATGTACTCGGTGTAGCTGCTCCAGATCTTGTCGTCCCGGTACTGGCTGACGAAGGCGGCGGTGCCGGTGGAGTTGCAGGCGACCATGTGGAAGCCGGCCTCGGAGAGGCGGTCGAAGGCCTGCTCCAGGTAGGTGAACTTCAGGTAGAAGCGGGCGGTGTACTTCTCCGGGGGTCGGGCCGGGTCGCGGCTCTCGTTGAGGCTCTCGCCGAAGATCTCCTTGGCCAGGGCGATGCGGCCGCAGACCATGATGCGGGGCACGCGGCGGAACTTGGCGTCGGCCTGGCTGTCCCGCGCGGCGGTGTAGGAGCCGCGGTAGCCGACGGTGATGAAGCCCGAGCGCCTCTCGCCGGCCCGCGGGGGGAGCAGGAGGAGCTCGCTGCCGCCGCCGCCGCCGCTGCCGGGCGAGTTGGCGTCGTCGAGGTCGCTCTGGCAGCCCTCGTCGTTGAGCGAGCTCTGCTTGGCCACCTTGGGCGCGAGGAGCTTGACCAGGTCGGCCAGCTGGAAGAACTCGGCCTCGCGGAGGAGGCGCTCCTTCTCCGGGAAGTGCTCGGGCAGGGCCAGCTGCTGGTCGCGCAGGTAGTCCAGCACGTACCTGAAGAGGAAGCCGTCGCGGTCGATGAAGAAGCGCGCCCGGCTGTCCCGCGGCAGCTCCCGCGGGGCGCTCCGGCGGGGGGCGAACATGTGCGCCAGGGTGCTGTCCGGCACGCTGAGCAGCGTCGAGTGCTTGGTCACGTACACCTGCCCGCCCACGTTCAGCTCCACCACCTCCGGGAAGGCGCAGCCCCCCGGCTCCCCCGCCGCCGCCGAGGACGACGACGACACCATGTCGCTGATGGGCAGGATGGTGGCGGCCGCGCTGCCCCCGCCGCCGCTGTCCTTCAGCGCCATGCCTGCTGCTGCTGCTGCTGAGCCACTTTCCCTGGGCGGACGGGACAGCAGGCGCCGCCGCCGCCTCGCGCTGCGCACTCGCAAGCCGCGCGCACAGCCCTCGCGCCTGGCCGCCTCGCCCAGCCCACCCCCGGCCACGTGCGCCCTCCTCGCCGCGCCTCTCGCGCTCTGCCGCTCTCTTGCCCAGCTTAGGGGGCGCTGCGGGACGCTTCTGCCGCGCGCCTTCTCGACCTCGCGGGCTTTTGCTCGCCGCGCCCTTTCTGGCCTCTGCCAGCCGCCGGCGCCGGGAACGCCTCGCCGGACTTGGCGGAGGCGGCGCTTTGCTTCTGCCGCGGCTTACATCGGCTCCGCGTTTTCTCAGCCGGGAGGGGAAAGTGCCGCTGGAAACCACGTTCAGATGGCTCGGGGCGAAGTCGCCCCCTGAACGGCCGTAAATCTATGCAGAAGGTAGCATAAAGCCCGATGCTCAAAGGAAGCGAAAGCGGCATGGAGTGGGGTAAAAGGTAAAGGCTTCCCTTGCTCGAAAGCCAGTCGAGTCCGACTCTAGGGTTGCGGTGCTCATCTCCGTTTCAAAGCCGAAGAGCCAGCGCTGTCCGAAGACGTTTCCGTGGTCATGTGGCCAGCATCACTAAACACCAAGGCGCACGGAACGCTGTTACCTTCCCACCGAAGCGGTACCTATTTATCTACCTGAATTTCTTACTTTCAAACTGCTAGGTTGGCAGGAGCTGGAACTATCTGTAAAAGGTAAAGGTTCCCTTGCTCGAAAGCCAGTCGAATCCGACTCTAGGGTTGCGGTGCTCATCTCCGTTTCAAAGCCGAAGAGCCAGCGCTGTCCGAAGACGTTTCCGTGGTCATGTGGCCGGCATGACTAAACACCAAGGCGCACGGAACGCTGTTACCTTCCCACCGAAGTGGTCCCTATTTATCTACTTGCAATGTCTTGCTTTCGAACTGCTAGGTTGGCAGGAGCTGGAACTAGAGACGGGAGCTCACTCCGTCGTGCGGCACACTCGGGTCTCGAACTGCCGAACTACCGACCTCCCACAGCCTGCAGTTCAGCGTCTTAACCACTTGCGCCACCGTGGGGGGGAGGCTACCATAAAACCCGATGCTCAAAGGAAGTGAAAGCAGCCTGCAATGCAGAGGGGGGACTCTGTTCCAAGGTGGCTTTGCTAAAGGGAAAAGTCGGTGCAGAATCAGCCCCAGGCGCAAGGGGGGAGGCGGGGCCGGGGGAGAAGCCCTCTCCCTCGGGGCCCTCGCCTTCGGAAGGCTGTCCGCCCCGGAGCTGAAAGGGCTCTGTATCCACACACACACCCCGAGCGGCCGCCGGCCCTCCGCCCTGAAGCCAATTGCGCCCCCCCTCGCTCTGTGGTGAGGCTGCGTGGCGGGATTAACGCCGTACGTTCCCGGACCGAGGTGGGGGAAGGCGGTGGAAGTCTGGTGCGGCAGCGCCAACTCGCCTCTGCCACAGTCCAGCCGAGCGACTTCCCCATCTCGAGCCGCAGCGAAAGCCGCGCTGTCGCCAAGGTCGGCTGGCAAAGAGCCGGAGCGAGCGGCTGCGGGGAGCCTTGCCTTGCCTGGCAGTGGAAGAGCCGGGCTGGCGGCGGGAGAGAGACGAGAATGAGAAAGGCGCGAGGGACGCCCTGCCCGAAATGGGGAAAGTTGGGAGACATCTGGCCGCTTCCGCGCTGTCTTTTTTTGTCGCTGGTTTGTCCCTATTGCTTTGGGGGCCGTCCGCCCCTCCCCCCCTTTCCACATGGGTTTTGCTCCCTCTGGGACTACTAGAAAGAGCAAAACTGCATTGGGGGGGGGGGGACCCTGAAGCAGTCGGGACCAATGCTCCCTCTAAGCTGTGGAGTCTTGTGAGCAAAGATTCTACTTTGTGAGCTACCGGCATTAAAACTGTGAGCAAGTGATTTGTGTGCTGCATAAATTAGTTTGCTCTGGAGCCCTCCTTTCTGAGCTAAGACAAAAAATGTGAGCTGGGGGCTAAAAAACTGTGAGCTAGATCACACTAACTCAGCTTAGAGGGAACACTGGTCCGGACAAACGTGAGAAGATGACCGCGGATCAATTGGCTCTAGTGAGGATCTCCGGGCAGCGCTTTCTGCTGCTGGAGCTAAAACATGTTTATTCGGAAGTGAGCTCTACTGGATGCCAGAAGACCGACTCCCTTGTAAGCGGGTCTCGTTGCAAGGCAGAGACACTCCGACGCCCATCAAACTGATTCTACCCCGCCGGGGTTTGATTTAAGGAATAAAAAGGGGGTGGGGGATCCAGTGGGGCAGCGCCTGGAGAAGTAAGGGTTAATCGTCCCCCACCGCCATGGCCGCCTTCCTTCCCCGGGTACTAATCACCTCCTAATGGTGCCTTGCATGGGAGCGGCATTATAATAAGTTAGCTTTTTTGCCTCTGAAGGACATTGGGCAAGGGCTTGCTTTTAAATTTGGAGCTGCACACTGGCATTGGAATGCCAGCGCATCCTACATACACCTATGCCACTCCCTGTCGCCTGCAGGCATGCTTTCTTGCTCAGGGTCACATTCCATGACATGTGGAAGGAGGCACAGAGTGAGAGGAAATCCTCCCCTCACAGCTGGGGACAGCCCAAATGCAGAAGTGTGAATTGTTGAACTGCATGGGTTTTATTTTGGAACAGCACATTTTAAAGAAGAAGAAGCTGTGTGGTAGTGATTCTGTGGCAGGACAGGCTTCTTCACCAATGGATTGCTTAGTGAGCCACAGTGTATGAGAAACCTCACTTTACATTAATTGGGGCTACGGGAAATGGTGGCATAGGCAAAGGTGGTGGTGGTTGAACTTGGAATTGCACCCTGAGCATTCACATCCATCTCCCTTCCATATTTCATTCAACAAGGAAGATTTGTTTTACATCTTTCCTCCACCCTTAAAAGAACTGGTGCTCAATTACATTGCAGGGACCTTATGCCAATAGAGGTTGTTTGTCTTCTACTTGCAGTGACCTCCTGAATGTACACACCATATTTCACAATTACTACAAGATGCTCAAGAAAAATACAGCGTTACTGTGTGTTTTATGTCGTTCCTTGCTACCTTAGAAACGGCAGATAGGGATTGAGTAGAAGCCTGAAATGTAGACATGTGTCTTTAATAGCAATTTTTATTCTGATAACTTATTCACTGAGGCAGAGATCACATTACAATATATTCTTGCATTTCTGCTTCCCTTCCCTGAAAGTGGGGTTGGACCTTCAAAAAGAACTTGCGTCATAACCAAGCGTACCAAATTTCATTATGATATCTCAATCCTCAAGGGAGATATTGCAATACAGAGCATTATTACATGTGTCCTACCTTCTTTGAACATTGGTGTGGGGGGGTATTGAGTTCATGCTCGAACAGGAAACACAAAACTCGCCTTTTTAGAACTTTAATGTCCTCATCTGATTTTTCACATATAATGACTTTTAGCTTTGATTCAGTTCCGGATATCTTGCAAACATCTTCAGCTTATCCCAGGTATCTTCCCGTCTAGTACATTTTAAATAGAAGAAGAGGAGGAGGAAGAAGAGATTGGATTTAGACCCTGCCCTTCACTCAGAGTCCCTTCCCCTCCCCACAACAGACACCCTGTGAGGTAAGTGGGGCTGAGAGAGCTCTTTCCAGAACTACCCTTTCAAGGACAGCTCTTATCAGAACTATGGCTTGCCCAAGGTTAACCAGCGGCTGTGAGTGGAGGAGTGGGCAATCAAACCCAGTCCTCCCAAATTAGAGTCCGCGCACTTAACCACTACACCAAACACCAAATAGCATGTTTCCTCCAAGGAACTTGGGGCAGTATACATGAGTCACCTTCCATTTTCTCCTGACACCAACTGTGAGGTAGTTTAGATGGAGAGAATAGTGGCTGGCCTAGGTCACCCAGTGAGTTTCATGGCAGAATGGGGATTTGAACCCAGATTCTACTCTAACACACACAAGAATTGCTCTTCTGAATCAGACTGATGGTCCATCTAGTCCACATCCTGTTTCACGCAGTGATCAAAAAGGGTGAACATCAGACATTAGGGGAAGAGCCAGTTTGGTGTAGTGGCTAGGAGTGCAAATTCTAATATGGGAGAACCGGGTTTGATTCTTCACTTGCAGCTGCTGGATGACCTGGGGCAAGCCATAGTTCTGTCAGAGCTGTTCTCTCAAGGACAGTTCTGGAAAGAGCTCTCTCAGCCCCGCCTACCTCACAGGGTGTCTGTTGCGGGAAGGGAAAGGAGATTGACAGCTGCTCTGAGACTCTGAGTGAAGGGCGGAGTATAAATCCAATCTCTTCTTCTTCTTGGCTGCTGTACCCCATTGTTGATGACAGGACAACTGGTTGGCCACTGGATGAAACAGGATGCTGGCCTAGATGGGCTAGTCTGATTCATTTCTTGGCCACTACACCATACTCGATCTTTCTGTAGCTCTCCTGGCTATCTATCTGTCTTGATTCTGGTGTTTTCACGCTTATATTCTGAGACAGTGGCTGGCTACTCCAGTGGTAAAGCATTTTGTTCTTTGGACATAAACTACTCCTGTTCACTTTTGCATGAGGTACTTTATTGCTGAGCTGCTGAATTCAAAAAAACTACTGGTAGGGGAGGTACAAATGTATCCTTGGACGATAATATATGAGTCCTTCAAACAAATGCAGCAGTTTCCTGGATCCGAGTCCTACACTGTAAACACTGCACATGGCTGTGTTCACACACAGGAGTGAGCATCTGAGGGACCAGAGAGAACCTTTACTGCTGTTCATGTCTGTATTTTGAGTGAAATGCTGAAGACTCTTGGATGGGGAATCCTTGGGAATGGGCAACGCTGATATCCAGGGAGAAATCAAGAGAGAACTGGAGAACCATTTTGGTGTAGTGGTTAAGAGCGCAGGCTCTAATCTGGGGGAACCGGGTTTGTTTCCCCACTCCTCCACATGCAGCCAGCTGGGAGACCTAGGGGCAGTCACAGTTCTCTCAGAACTGCTC